CTAAAAGTTCAATTTTTCTAATAAAAGTGAAAGATGATGAAGATGGTGGAGTAAGATGACACAAGGAGGATGAAGATGGAATATTTATGAGGGATGCGACGGTGATGAGATGGAACCAAAAAAAGAAAGAAGAGACGAGGGGGGAGAAAGAACCATATGGAAAGAGGGGGGGGGGGGGGAGAAAAAAACTGAGAGAGTGGGAATAAAGTTTAAAATTAAATGTGTATGAATGGTGCAAACATTTTGTGTACACGTTTGCATTTTTATAGTTATTCGTGATTCTTTTCTTATTTTTAAGGATGACTTATTCACGCATCCCAAACTTTGAAGGGGTACGTACTTGTGAGGTAAAGATTTTTTTGATTAGATAGTAGTTTTTCTGATCTAGTTTGATCCACTAAGATCTATTCAATTCAAGTCTTGTTTGATCTTGTAAGAAAAATACTGTCATGTTTAAAGTCTGATACTGTCAAAACATGGCAGTAATTAGACCTATTTTTGGAATAGATAATTATAGTTCTATTTTGAAATATAAAAATTTTTTTAGTACTATTTGGAGTAATTTCCCTAATATATGTATACATATCGAAAATTTTATATAAAAAGTCAATTATTTACACAACACGATTATATGATTTTCATCCACAAATGTAAATTTGTGGTGGGAAGTACTCCTCCCACTTTGTAAGATATTTTACTTTTTACGTACGATGGGATGTTGGCCAATGATAAAGCAAATGGATCCTTGTCCGCGCTCAAAAAATTTTTAAGAAAAAAAATTACATACTCAGAAAACTACATTAAAAGCTTTACAAAGTCACAAAATCAGAATCAAATTTGATAAAAAAAATTGATTTATAAAGTAAGAGATTAAGAGTGATTTGTGTTGACTAAGTGAATATGATACATATCTTACAAATTGGGACTGGGGTATATAATTTAAATTAAAATACCCTAAGCTTTTATGAGGATGCAACACATTTAATTTGTAAATTAAAATTCTAAGCTTTCGGTTGTTAAATGAATAATACTCTCTCCGTCTCCATTATACTTTGCTAATTTTCCCTTTTTGATTGTTCCAAAAAACTTTGGTACTTTCTCATTAAAGTAATTATTTTGTGGTTCTGCTCATTTCTTTCTTCTCTGCACAAACTTCAACCACACTATTTTTACTTTTTTTATTTCTTACCTAATTCAGAGTGTAAAGTCCATTGAAACGGAGGTAGTACTCTATACTACTTTGAGTCTATGTAGTTCCAACACATTTAATTTGAAATGTGAAAACACACAACTTTCGCTATGATGATACCATGGATTGAAGTCATGGCCCAAGAATCATTTTAAGTTAAGCCCATCAACGAGATCAACCCATTAATAGGGATTAATGACGAATAATAACCTCTGGGCCTTATTTGGAATCCAACCAGAGAAAAGAACCCACAGCCAAGCCAGGCTGGACAGCAGACCTCGAGTCTGGACAGAGTTCTAACGAGGTCGGGCTCTTCCTAGGGCTTATGTGGTAAGCTATCATTTGAGCATAGTTATCTTGCAAAGCCAGGAAATAACGGAAGAAATGTGGAACTAGAGGAACAATGATTGCACAGCGTTACATTCGAGACGTTATAGGACTATTATAATTAAATTTCATTAAATGTATCAATTTCCTCCTACAATACTAGAATCTAAGGCCTATAAATATTTCATGTACACATCCTACTAATGATCCGAATTCCGGAATAATAATATTGTCTTACGTTGCCTAAATTTCATCTACTCTCGTAGAGTAAGCTCTCGTAGTTGGAATTAAACTTCATCACACTATTAACTACTTATTAGTAAAAATCATAGAAATTAAAGAGACATATTTTGGTATTTTAATTTGAGGAAGCTTAATACTTCATCCGTCCCTTAAAATTCTTCCAACTTTCCATTTTGGGATGTCCCAAAAAATTAGTCCAGCTTCACCTTTTTGATAATTTGTGTGGCTCACATTCATTTCACTTTTTTCTTACACAATTACAATCATACATTTCTACTTTATTTCACCAAAATATGCGATCCAATTCAAAGTTGGAAGAATTTATTGGACTCTCAGAATAATGCAAACATCAAAGTAGAGTACATACTACTCTAAAACTCAAAGGGCATGTTTACTAACAAAGATATTTTCCAGTTTTTCAGAAAACTGGAAAACTGAAAAACAGAAAACAGGAAACGTGTTTATCAAAGAAATTGCTGGAAAACTAGAGAAAGAAAAAAAGAAAAACGTGTTTACCAAATCGTTTTCCAAAACGGAAAAATGAGACATGTCTCTCTTTTCCTTAATGATTTGGAGAAGTGACTTTTACTAGTTTTCCAAATTTGGAAAACGCAGATGTTACAATGCCGCTGCAATGAATTTGCATACATACACCTAGTGGTGGGTCTGGTCCCGCTCCGATGTCGATTCCATTCTGGTACCTCCATCCTCGTACCATACCCCTTACCCCTACCCTACCCACCAAACCCCACCCCTCGTACCCATTTTCCCTATAATGACCCTATCCCACCCCCTACCACATGCTCCTACCTCAGCCCCACCCTGATCTACCCTACATTACCGCCACCCCCTACCACCTCGACCCCACCCTAACCCACCCTACCCTACCCCCACCCATATATTACCCCTTACCCCCTTACCACATGCCTCCTACCTCGGCCCCACCCCACTGCCATCCTACCCCCACCCTTGTACCGCCATCCTACCCCCACCCGAATCCCGGGCCCACCCTACCGCCATCCTATCCCAACTCCCTACCCTACCCCTACTTTACCCCAAGCCTAACCCTACCCACTACCCCTACCCTTACCGCCATCCTACCCCCCACTGTACCCCTTCCCTACCTTGACCCCACCCTACCGCCATCCTATCCCAACTCCCTACCCTATCCCTACCCAACCCACTACCCCTTCCTTACCCCTAACCCACCCACTACCCCCACCCAACCCCCTACCCCCCTAGACCTTACCACCCCACCCCGACCATACCCCTTACCCCATCCCCACCCATAACTACCCTACCCCAACCCCTACGAGTAGGTATGGGTGGGTATGAAGGGTTGTGGGGAAGTATGGGTAGAGTGTAAGATCGTGGTAAGGGTAAGAGTAGGGGTGTAGAATTAGAGAACTGAGTAAAAAAATTGATGAACATGTTTTCATATTTGAAAATGAAAAACTAAAAAATAGAAACAGAAAATTGAAGATAAAAAAACTGAAAAATAAAACCAAAAAATTGGAGAACGAAAAACAAAAGTAGAAAACAAGAAAATATCTCTGTTAGTAAATAGGCCCAAAGTGTTTTAACTATTTGTGTTTCAACCAGTGTTCTAAAAGGCCTCAAAAGGCGCCGCCAAGGCAGGACTAGGCTTGGGAAAGTCAACGGGAGAAGGCTATTTATATAGGAAAAGGCTAAAGGGGAATTCAGCCCCCCTCCGGTGTGGGAAACCTGAATGGGAAAGGGAGAAACAACCATTCAAAACACATGCGCGCTCAACCGATTTTGAACATGAATGACTTTGTATAAATTAAACCTATAAATTCAGCAAACCATCAAGACCATTTGCTATTATTTGAACTTCACTTGGTAATATACGATTAACTAAATACTAAAACTAATACTAATAAAAATGATAGTTGTAATACTAATAACATTATTATTGTCGTTTTTTGTGAAGGATTATTATTATTATTAGTGTTAGTGCTAGTGTTATTATTATTGGGATTTGTGTCACTATTAGTATTGATATTATTATTACTATTATCATTAATATTAGTATTAGTTTTAATATTGGTATAATTGTTACTATCATAATAATTATTATTATACTCCGTATATATTATCAGTCAACTATTTTTTTCAATTCTAACTTTTGTGTAATAGGTAAATTTATAATTCTTCATTTAGGACTCTTGAAATCTACTTTTGGTGGAAGTTAGAAGAATACGATGTTCTTATATTATATGATACGCTTAATTGTTCTTATATTACCTGAGAAGATTGTCTCATTGTGGTTTTGGCTCGTTCCACTAAGATTGTTTCATATTAACTAAAAGTACATTTGTGTGGCTTCTAAATCTTTATTACATTGGTCTCACTTTATCACTTCAGTGTCAATCACACACGCTTAATTTCCTCGGTAACTGTGTCACCTCCTCTTGTGCAAACACTAGGGTACGAAGGTAGTATTATTTAATAACTTTACATACTTGAAATTAGCTCTACAAAGTAAAAAAATGGATGATAAAAACTTGAAATGATTCCACATTTATGACTAAAAAAGATTGTTTACAAAAATATGACTAATGACTAAAGTAGTAAAAGAATTATACTCCCTCTGTCCCGCTATGATTGTCCCATTTTTCCTTTTCGGGAAATCTACTAAGATTGACTCACACTAAATGTTAAAGTTTGTGACGCTCTAAATCATTCTAACTTTATTTTTACTTTAATTTATCAATTTAATATTAACCACAAAGACCCACTTTTCTTAATACTCGTGTCAGTTTCTCTTGTCCCAATTTAATATTCAACTTTTAAACGTAAGTTACCATGACACGTACTACATTGTAGTTAATATTAGTCATTTTTGTGTATAAGAGTTTTCTTTTAGTAATATTTTTGAAAAAAAAAAACTCTAAAAACTCAAAACGCTTTTTCACGTTCAAGCCTCGCCTAAGCCCGTCTAGACTTCAAAGGCTTAAGGCTTGAGTCGGCCGCCTTGACACGCCTTACGCCTTTTAAAACATTTGTTTCAACTATTTAAGTCGCATGTAGGTGATATTATTTATTTCGGAATTGTAAAAATATGTTGGTGTACTCTTTTAGAATTTTCAAAATTTCCCTAAATTTTGCAGATACAGTTGATCAAGAACAGTTTAATAAGTGCAGCAGTGAAAATCTTTATCAAAAAAATGTAGCAGTGAACAAGAAAGAAATATAAAGAGGCAGACAAAAGGAAGTAGGAAATGGTAATTTAAATCAACCTCTGATCTGAAGAGTAGAAAAGACAAGTGGGTTGGAGTGAGAAAAGTGAAGGATTGACCCGTAGAAGCCGAATGGCAATTCCCCGTCATCTGCAACGACGTTTCTCTCCGATACCGTTGAATTTTCACCCTACTCTATACAAACCAACTCTCTCTCTCTCTGCTTGTTTTTTTCTGCATTCTGATTTCTGAACGGAACTGAGTTAATTTTCTGTGCAATCTCCATCTCTAGGCTCATCTCTTTGCGCTGCCGAGCTGACCGATGCTGTCTCCTTAGCTTCGGGTTGACTCATCCAATTCTTGGTTCTATCTTTCCAAGGTAGGGCTTTTTCTCCAGCTTTGACCATTCCTTTTTAGCTGAAGTGCTAGAGCAGGGTGATGCTGGAGAAGGGATATCTCAGGTTTTAAGTAGATATGATGAAGAATAAGTTGGTGGACATGGATCGACGGTTATGGATGATACAGATTTCTGCTTTTTCTGTTATGCTATTCTTGTTGTTGCCGTTTCTTCAACCTCCGGTGGTGTCTGGTAACGGAGAAGGTCTGTCTGTTCTTTTGGAATCTTTCATTTTTCTCATCCCCGATTTGAGGATGATTTCCATTTCATCCTTTATATCGATTATAACGATTTATTCATCTCGTATTTACTGGGATATATTATATTGCTCAAAATCAGATCTTTCCTCTACAATTTGCAGTGATGGAGTAGTAAAGTTTGTGTAATTAGTTCTTTTATAGTATAGAGTTAAGGATTTGGTTGTAGGCGCCAAAGGGTATGTCAAATTTATTGAGTTCGATCTATTAGCTATCCCAAATCCCTTTGTCTAATAAGCAACATTTCTATCTTAACTACTTCTTCCCTGATGTGTGATACTAATGTAATTGGAAAGGTTTGGAATTTGAAAGATAGGAGTGGGATTTGTGAATGATTGAGTTGTGTAAAGAGTGAAAATCTGTACACTTCTGTTTTGCTGGAAAGATACTATAAGCTGATGATGGTCATTTGTGTAAGACATACAGGTGATGCTTTGAATGCACTGAAGAGTAATTTAGCTGATCCAAACAGTGTTCTACAGAGTTGGGATCCAACCCTTGTTAATCCCTGCACTTGGTTTCATGTTACCTGCAACACAGACAACAGTGTTACTCGAGTGTAAGCTGTTTTTAAAAGCAATTATGACCCTTTTTTCATAACCGTTTTACTCGATTTGTGCATTGATACTTATTTCTGTGTTCACTTTTAGTGATCTAGGCAATGCAAATTTGACGGGTCACCTCGTTCCAGAGCTTGGTCAACTTCCAAATTTGCAGTACTTGTAAGTTTTTTTCCTTTTTCTTTGCCAGGTAATATGCTTGGCTATTGTTTTGTATTTTCTTCTTGCTAGATTTCTCTCAGCTTCATGAAACGAGATGAATTCTGATTACCTATTGTTTGTAAACCTGCACCCTTTATTACAGCTAAATTTCATTTCATTTCCTATGGACTTCAATAGCCTGTTATGCTTTAAAGTTTACACAGTTAATGTGGTCTGTCGATCTACATTGACCATATTTGTGTATTTTTGCAGGGAGCTGTACAGCAATAATATAAGTGGCATAATTCCTACTGAACTAGGAAACTTAGCAAACTTGGTCAGCTTGGATCTCTACATGAACAACTTGAGTGGTACCATCCCTGACACTTTGGGCAAGCTCCAGAAACTGCGCTTCTTGTACGAGTTACAAATCTTAGTTCTTTTTAAAATTCCATTTATCAAAGAGAGAATGTGCATTAAGTAGGAGGCTCAATTTTTTGTTATAAGGAACTTTAATTATTTCTGCTTTTGTTTCCTTTTTTGTGGAAATTTGCAGGAGGCTTAACAACAACACTCTCACTGGTCGTATTCCAATGTCTCTAACCACAGTTAATACCCTCCAAGTACTGTAAGTGTATCATTGATAACTTTTTTCAAAACCTTATTCCTCACTTTATGTCTCTGTCCAAAAAGTGATGTTTTAAAAATCAATATTGCAATAAACAAAATAATTTTTCATTGAAATTATTATAATATTGCAATAAAAATATAGTTTTGCTAGAAAACAGGGAAGGGAGTCTTTAATTAAAATGAAGGTGCATTACCAAACATAGAAAGTTGTACCATGTGTTTATTAATGAAGGTGGAGGCAGTGTAATTTTCTTTTTGATGAAAGTTAATACTCATTCTCTTGCAATGCAGTGATCTCTCGAACAACCATCTACAAGGACCAACTCCAGTCAACGGTTCCTTTTCACTTTTCACTCCTATCAGGTTTGTGTCTAATAGTTTCTTTTATTGAATTATTTCTGGATTTTTAAAGTTAAAATCTTGATTGCCAAGTGGCTATGCTTTAGTTTTGCCAATAACCAGCTGCAAAATCCTCCAGTTTCTCCTCCTCCACCAATTTCTCCAACACCACCTTCTTCTCGAGGTTCGTGTTAGTCGTTTTGGATTTTTTTTTACTACTCTCTCTCTTATACCTATTTATGCAACTTGAAGCATATGTTCATCGTTTGTTCTTAAGAGTGCCTCCTGCCCCTCCCCCTCCATAAAAAGAAATTAATGGATGAGTCATCCAAGGTTAATGAAACTCAGCATCCTTTCATATATGGTACTGTGATATGTATATGATACTTCCATTTTGGCATGCTTTAAGTGAACAAACATGCACCTGTTTGATAACTAGTATGATTTCTTATTACTCCATCCCTCCCAAGACCTAACATGTAGGATATATTTGGGTTTGGCGTGCTTTTTTCAGAAAAGGATGGTGCTATGTATTTCTTTTTAGGTTTTCCTTTCGAATATTCGTGTCGAGAATTGATCTCTTCTCTCTCTTTTTTCTTTCTTTTTCTTTTATCTTTCGATCTTCTTTATCTTTCTTATGTTATGTTAATATGTTATTTTTATCTTATATCTTACTTGCATTCTTTTATCTCATACGGAGTATTTATCTTATCTTTTCATTTTTCTTATCTTTTTTCTTTTTGTCTCCAATATCATGTCTTGATTCATGTTAGCCGACCCCGAAATCTTTTGTGAATAAGTCTTGGATGTTGTTGATTTCCTTTCAAAGATAGAAAAAATGGGCCCCGCAGTATAAAACCTGAAAACATAGTAAAAAATTACTCTCAGAGAAGTAAAAATTATTAATTTAGGAAAGTGATTAACTAAAGAGTAGGGACAGGCTAAAAGTCGAAGTAGATTTAAAAATGCATAGAGGAAGTTGTAATGTAAAAATTATATTGGTCATTAAGGCTCTAATTTTTCTTACTAACCGTTACAAATTGTAAACTGAATCAACTTTGCAGGGCCCAACACCTCAACGGCGTCCATTGCTGGAGGAGTGGCTGCAGGTGCTGCCCTTCTCTTTGCTGTTCCTGCTATTTTTCTTGCATGGCGGAGGAAAAGGAAACCGCAAGACCATTTCTTTGATGTTCCTGGTCAGTAGCATATATTATTAATACAATCCACTTCTTCAAAGTTCTCATAGATCTTTATTGTACTTTACGATACATTTTTCATGTTTATCTATTTATTTCATTGTCAGCTGAGGAGGATCCTGAAGTTCATCTTGGACAGCTCAAGAAGTTCTCCTTGCGTGAATTGCAAGTTGCCACTGATAATTTCAGCAATAAGCATATACTCGGTAGAGGTGGGTTTGGTAAGGTTTACAAAGGGAGGTTAGCTGATGGATCACTAGTGGCAGTTAAAAGACTAAAAGAGGAACGCACCCAAGGTGGGGAGTTGCAGTTCCAGACAGAGGTTGAGATGATTAGTATGGCTGTGCACAGAAATCTTCTCCGTTTGCGTGGCTTTTGCATGACCCCAACTGAGCGTTTGCTTGTCTATCCCTATATGGCCAATGGAAGTGTAGCATCCCGTTTAAGAGGTACTTCTTTGGGTTTGCAAGTGCTCTCCATTCTGTAGTTAATATGTATGCTGCTCACATAACGTTTTATATCTATTTATATTTTTTCCTTGGGAAAAATGGTTGTCCTCAACCATGTTTCATAAGATCTTTTATGGAATTTTTCGAGCCTGCCCCAAATAGATATGCAATTTCACATTTTTACCCTGTTTAAAATTAATAATTTCCAGTATAGGAGTGCAGTTTAATTTTGAGGGTTCTGACTAAGTTTGGGTACATCTGGAATGCAAAATTATGCACGCACCCAATAAAGAAATCAGACTAAGATTTTGTGACGGATCAAAATAGAATATGGACTACCTTGTAGACAGATTATTGACAATCCCTCCCTGAGCCTCACTTTGTTCTTCACACTTTTTTTTTGTATTTGTCCCATAATTTCCATTTAAGGAAAGAATTGTGTGGTTGATATTGATTCTTCCATTATTTCTAGTCTCGACCACATAGGTTTATTTGTCTCAAATCTCAATAGTATTAAAAGCAAAGAGCAAAGAACAAAGGTGGGGCAAGGGAGTAATTGACACTATCCTCTTGTTCATGTCATGACACTAATTATTATATTTATATTCACTTAATTTGCAGAGAGAGGTGAATCACAGCTCCCGCTTGATTGGTCAATCCGGAAACATATTGCGTTGGGATCAGCTAGAGGCCTTGCATATTTGCATGACCACTGTGATCCTAAGATAATTCACCGTGACGTAAAAGCAGCTAATATTTTGTTGGATGAGGAGTTTGAAGCAGTTGTTGGGGATTTCGGACTTGCCAAACTGATGGACTACAAGGACACTCATGTGACCACTGCCGTGCGTGGTACAATTGGCCATATAGCCCCTGAGTATTTGTCAACCGGGAAATCATCAGAGAAAACTGATGTTTTTGGTTACGGGGTTATGCTTCTGGAGATCATAACTGGGCAGAGAGCCTTTGACCTTGCTCGCCTTGCTAATGACGATGATGTTATGTTACTTGATTGGGTAAATGTTTTCCGACCGTTCAATAATCCCCCCCACCCCACATTAATCAAGTCCCTCCCCTTCTATGGATTATACTGCCACTATTTTTTTTTTATGATACTGCCACTATATATTTCTAAAAACTTTAACAACTATGATATCTTATTAGATGAATCTGTGTTTAAGTAAATGAATAACAAGAAGATCTTGGCCTACTCTACCCATATTGGATTGAAGTCTTAAGAGGAAGCTCCAAGTCTTGAAATGGTGTACTAGAGCATATTAAGATCGAACGGGCAAAGAGTTAAATACTCCCAACGTAGTTATGCATTTCTTGCCACTTTTGGTCCTTTGTGTTTGCTTGTTCTGTATGGGAGTTGGCTTGTAAAAAAGATGAAAGTCAGGGTAAAAAGTGAGAATGACTTGGTAGTTGTCATTCTTGATGCACAATTATGAATTTCTTGCCACTTTTGGTACTTTATTGTCACTTGTCTGGTGAATATGAGAGTTGGCTTGTAAAGAAATGAAAGTCGGGGTAAAAAGTGAGAATGACCTAGTAGTTATTAGACCAGAACTGGAAAACTTTCCTTATAAGAATCCAGAGGAAACAATTCCTGCATTGTGACTTCCCATAGTTCACTCTTTAACCTTGTTTCTTTCTTGAACCTACCTTCATTTTAAACATCAGGTGAAGGGGCTGCTTAAGGAGAAGAAGTATGAGACATTAGTTGACGGAGATCTCCAGGGTAATTACATTGAAGAGGAGGTGGAGCAACTAATTCAAGTAGCCCTTCTATGCACACTAAGTTCCCCGGTGGAACGACCAAAGATGTCAGAGGTTGTGAGAATGCTTGAAGGTGATGGTCTTGCTGAAAGGTGGGAGGAGTGGCAGGAGGAGGAGGTGTACCGATCGGATGCATCCAATCATTTGCATCATCATCATCATCACCATCACCATCATCCAAACACTGATTGGATCATTGCTGATTCCACTTCTAATCTCCGGCCTGACGAGTTATCTGGCCCAAGATGAAAATTAGGGCTGTAATTGATACTCTTGTTTTAATCTTTGTGCATATGTAACTTATTTTTCCTTTTTATTATTATTTCGTGTATTAGAAAGGAATTTTGATGTCAATATGTGGCTGAAAGTTCATCATGGCAGGAATGCTTTGGAAGGCGCCAATGTAACATTTGTTGTTGTAACATCTTTTTTCTCCTTTGATATTAATTAAATGTTCCATATTTCATATTCTTAAATCTGAATAATATTCAAATGTCACTCGATAAAAACTCGTTTGAATTCACACCTCACAGTTCCAGTCAATCGTGGGAACTGAATTGATGCCAATAAACATTCTTGTTAAAATGGTGGTTTCAACTTCCCTAGTTCCCTTCTCTCAAAACTGGACATGTCATGGCCTCATCACTCATGTCCTCGTGATTAAGGTAATGACAATTCTAAAGCAAAACCAGACTGGGTCCGTTGAGAATTGAGATAGTTCGGTCTTTTGACTGATAAACTGAATTGGTTGATAGCTCCACCACTTTCAAGTTTCTACCCTGTTTGCATAGACTCATGCACATAATTACATTCAATAATCCCAGGGGTTTTCACTTCGGCACCTCTTCACGTGATAGCTTAGAGCACCTCTTCCATGAGTCCATCAATAGGTACTCCCAAGTCCCAAGACAAGAACCAGCCCTAGAAATCAGGTATTCTCTTCCATCTCCAAAATGCACTAGGATTGTTCCGTTCTGACCCGATTCCAGTATTGTTTTTTTCCTTTAAAAGAAAATAGGCTTAAAATTGCTATAGGAACCAGACCTGAAACCATTGGTTCTCTCCAACACAGAACCAAACCGGGATTACTGATATATATATACCTTTTTATTGGTTCGAGTATCCCTACCTATTAATTAGAACTAATATTCTACACTTGCTTTGCAGGCAAATGTGAACACTTAAAAGGTAACAAAAGTAGCGAGGTAGAATGAGAATGAAACAGAAAAGATCAACAACCAGCCTTGATTTACTTTCAGTAGTACCCATAGAAAAAGGATCTGGTTTCATACACTATGCCTGTCATTTAAGAGACTAGCATTTTCTCTCTTCCAACAGCACAATATAATGAGTCCAAACATTGATAACAAACTGTAGGTCAACTCTTTGCTGTATGCCTATCGTAATCCAGAATCAAGATATGCGTCCATGTACAACTAAAAGTCTAAAATGGTTTTCTATCCCACTTAACATAATTCTCTTCATTTCCGGTTGCTTGTTCTTGGTTTCCCTTTGACCTCGGATTCCTGTTATAAAAAAAAGGAAGTCAGAAAGAGTTCTGAGCAACTCAAATGTGTTTGAACGTTTTAATGACTTAAAACATACGTAGTATAATAATACCTGCGGCAAATGCAAGAAAATGCTAGTCTTTGCTGTTGCTGGATTATGATTTTCTGCACCCTTGCTCCAATCATAACACACCTAGTAGGGAGGAGTAAGGTAAACATATATTTATGATATCTTCACTAAAAAATTATCATCAAAGATAAATATGGTGAAACCATAATAATGAGGAAGGAAGAGTGCAATTTACCGCATATGCATATAAAGAGCCATCGTGGTTGAAAGTGCTGCACGGTATAGGCTGATTGCATCGTTGCATTGCCTAAAAATAAACATACTTAACCATAGTTGGTATGCCACAATGTCCAATTAAGATTAGGATAAAAATTCACTGGTCCGGCACAGTTGACCCAAAAACTGGTGACATGGCACATGAGGTATAATTGAGAAAATCTGGCCCAGATTCAAATCGGCAAATCCCGATTTTAATGATTTTTTAGGCCTCTAATCTAATACAAATGCAGTCCTTGTTCTTCAGTGCATCTATTCTGGTTTATGCAAGGGTAGAAACTAGAAACCTGACTATGGTTTTGCGTGAGAATATATACTAGTAGTAGTTCTTCAAATCTGGATTTAGGACAGTTTCTATATCCTTGGAGTCTTGAAAGTCAATAAGTTGTCTAATACACTTATAGGATTCCATAATTCCATAAGTGGTACGTAACATTTATCGTGCATCAATAAAATGCCTGTTGGTGAGAAGTTTAATCAACAATATCACCTCTTTCCTTTCTATATAACTTTATACCTTACACAAAAGCTTTACAAGTTTAAGTTGACTAGAAACTATAAAAGAAAAAAAGTTACCTTGAGCCTCTGTTTGCTGTCTTTGTCCCAGAAGTTGAAGGCACCATCAGACCCAGCAGTAGCAAAAGTGCCATGCACCTGCAATAGAGAAAGGTCAAACTTATACAATAATTGGATCAGTTCGTTTGAAGATTTAAAAAAAATGGTGAATTAAGAAGAGTCATAAGATTTTATGGAGAATCAAATACAGCTTACAGAAGTTTTAGGATAAGAGAAAAAACAATAATTAAAAAACAAGTCAGAGAACAACATTAAGGCATATGACATTTTAAAACAGGTTCAAAAAGTAATTAGGCACAATAGCTGGACTACTTTATTGTGATATTGACCATACTTTAAGCTAGTGACCTAAGTAGTTAAATCGCTACTCTGTAGCAACTCAATCAAGGACTGAGTAGCGAGTAGGACCAAGTACTCGGCACTACTCGGTGATTACTCGGCCATATGTTAATTAAATTTAAAAATATAGATGCCCAAAATTATAGAGTACTGCGTAATATATTAGTCTTACAATTCTTGGATGGGAATAAAATTATAATAATCCAAATGATGAAGTAGCAAAAGTAAAAAAAACATTCCAAGTTTCCAAGAAAATCAATCATCTAATAATTTGGTCCGTTATTAATCTTCATTGGGTTCAAGACTTCAAGGCCGTTAATGGAGTATAAATAGCGAAAGACATTAGATACACAAAAAAGACGTATTTAAAAAAAAGCATGTTTTTTCTCCAAGTACTCAGGTTAATCACTACAAAAGATTTCATTTGCAATTGAATGAAAAAATTACAAAAGATGTTCACTTCACCAAGAAACTGAAAAGTAACAACATATATGTACTAGGAACCTGGAAGGTGAAGAAACAAAGATCATTATAAATGTCTTACTGGGTGGAAATTCAGAGAGTTGACGGAGTAAATATCAGTGTTCTCCCTGTGGCATTTGAAAGTGAAGTTTTTGTTGTTCTGCGCATCGTCAATGTGGTGCACTCCAACCCTTCCTTCAATTGAGCCCACCTAAATTACACAAAACAAATTTTAATAATAAACAGCACTCATAGTAGTTGCCTATTTAGGGTAGAATGTAAAAATCCGAGGTGCATTCTTAGTCACTGCATTTTAAGCGGCTTAACTACAAAATACGGTGTTAAAACTCACCAGGAAGCCTTGTTTATCAGGAAAGGCAGCCAAGCACCTTGTCTGGTACTTCAGTGGTGACATGATCCTCTTGAACTCTGTCTGTAATATTAATGGTTTTATGTCACTAATTAATTGTATCCATCGAATAAATAGGATATAAAACAGAAGGTTAGCAAATCATATCGAATTCTAGTAACTCCTAAGTGGCGTGTCTAGGAAGAACTAGACATATTGTGAAAATAATGCAGCAGATATTGCCTCACGGTTCAACAAATGAGGAAAGCCATCAATTCAGTGTCTTGTACACCAAATTAATTTGTAATGGGGAAAGAATAAACAAAATAATAATAATCCTGTGCAAGAATAGAGTATTACAATTGAGCAGTGTCAACCTGTCTATCAATTTTGTCGCGGATTGATTTTTTAGTTTGCAATGGAGCCAAAGACTTACTATTTTTTGCCTTGGGAATATGATGGAGTAAAGCAAAATGACTCACTAAACTGTCTGCGCTTCTTTTTTATAAAGCAGCAGTCAGTCCATGCAATTTTCGACGCGATTTTTACCATGGGTCATCCGAAAACAGTCTCTCTGTGCTTTAGTATAGGTGTAAGACTGTACATCCGACCCCCCTTACCCTACCGTAGGTGGGAGCCTTTGCGGCACTGGGGTAATAATGATGATGATGATTGATTTTTTAGTTTAACATAGATTTCACTATTTCAGTATTACTTAAGAATATTGCAGTATCCCTCTTATATGAATTATGAGTAGCCAGTAGCAAATAATTTTGACTATTTAATACATCCACGATCTAATATTGTCAATTGTTGCATATAAAAAAAATACCTGAGGACTTTGCAAATTAAAAACTATAAGATTTCTGTCAGCAGTTGCCGCAACCATTAGAGGATGTTTTACTGCAAGTGCATAACAGCGTTCGGGAAGTTGTTGGACATGAGCCGGATTTTGCTGCCTTAGATCCCAGTACCTGATGAGGATGATTATAAAACATAGATTACCATTCCTAAATCAACTATGTAAAGCAATTCAATAATGCATGTGCCAACAGAATACATATTCAACAAAATGACAGGGTAAAATGCTACAGCACACAAAAACCTACAGAAATGGGTAGCCTATATACGTTGTGCTAAGACCAAATTGTTAGCACCATATTTGATATACTGCAATATCTAATCAATCATACAAAAATAGGAACATTTTACTAATGCATCAGAATCATGAAGAACAGAGGGTTGTTTGAGTGATTAGATAGAGAACATATGGAGAACACTACAAGTCTAAGGACTAAAACAAATTGCAAAAAAAAAAACAATTTCCAAAAAGTGTCTTCTAAGTTTGAAATTATAATTGGTAATTTAGTTGAGCCTCAAAAATCAATTATCTGTTTTTTCAGCCCCTTCAAATCACTAAATGTAAAGATAAAACTAAAAGAGAATGTCATTACTAACCTCAAGGTTTTATCCCAGCTTCCTGAGACTAAGAGGCTCATTTCAGGAATCCAAGCAATCTCTTTCACAGGAGCATCATGCATTGCAACAGTTACAGGTTGATTACCACCAAGTGGCCACATTTTTACTTGCTTGTCACAGCCTCCCGAAAATACTGTTGAACCATCATCTTTCCATGCGGAGCATAAAACCTTCCAAGTTTTAAATAAAAATACCAATTAACCATAATGTAATATAAAAGGAAACAACATAACATTTTTAAGAATTATGTGACAATTGATATTACCGGTTGGTCATGTGATATGGACGCTTTGGGTGTTGTTCCAATATTCATGCCACTTTGCATGACTTCCCAACAACGTACCTAAAAGGGAATGGAAAACAAATAAGTTCTCACATCACATATGGGCATGGGGATGAATGCAGGTTTAAGGGTTGCACAGGAAAAAGGGAAACCAAGTCTATCATTAATAGCTAACAAATTTCTACATGCTAGCAGCCTGACAAGTGAGAACATTCTGAAATATGAGTTATACCAGATTTTTAAGGCATTATGTGAATTGAACAGGTTAATAAAATTCTCATATAAACTCCATATTAACTCTAACCTACATACATCATCAGCTCTTCAGAGGATTGAAATGCAACAAAATTAAGTACCCATGCAGCATCACTTTATGTGTGTCATGAGAATGTTGAAGGGGGGCAACAAATAGACATTAAAGGTAACAAAAATTCTTAACAGAGAAAACAAAATGAACCTGATTGTCCCATGATGTAGCCACCAAGAAGTTTGCCTTTGGGCTAAAACAGAGGCTTGATACTGAGTCACTGGGAGGTTGTGCAACCTTCACTCACCAAACCCCAAAAGTTAATAAGTGCAGAAACATAGCATATTAATGAGAACTGATCATTGGGGGAGAGAGCTAGCCCTAAAGTACTTCATTATATTTACAGCCAAATCTCTATACCTCAGTAGACTTATTAGGATTTGTATTCACCGTAGTTGCGCCAAATGCAGACATTGAAGCTGATTATGATCTGAAACACTTTCATTAGAAACATTGCGTAAACTCAAAAGAAGATTCTAAAAAAATATTGTATAAGTTCTTTTAAAAAACACTCCCATTTAATAATACGAGCATGTGTGCATGTTTGAGTAATGTAAAGCAATAAGTTTTAATTATATACTAATACATACAAGTATAACTGTATGGGTGTGACCCCAAAGGCCCAAACTCTTTTGGGATTAAGGCTCTGATGTTGTTGTTGATGTATACATATAGCTGTATGGATTATATAATTATCCACTATACTTTGCTACCAAAATTTATTTTCAAATTTGCTTTGTTCTTATTTTATACAGAGTATAATATAAGTTCAATATATTATCATGGTATCCGGAACCTCTATTTGAAGAAGAACCTTGAGCCAAAGCAATCAATTACAATAAATTGTTGCTAAAAATAAGAGCAAAGAAAACCATGAATGCTAAAAACAGCAAAATTTAAACCTGGATATAAATAAACAACTAATGAAAATGAAACAGATTTCTTAGGGTTATAGAGTATAGAAAATATAAAACAATTAAAACTCAGATATTCTAAAGTTATAGACTCACAGATAATCCTAATAGAAAATCTGATGAAGCTACAGATAAAACTACCAGAGAGCAACTCTGTTATAAATAAAAGCATATATAAGATTTCAAAAGTTAAATAAATAATTAGAACAAAGCAAATACTTATCAGAAAACCATAAATAAGTTCTGTACAGAGATTAAACATTTTTTAAATATAGGGCTAATTGATTATATGTAGAGTGGTCTTTTAGATTTGGAACTTTTTACTCCCTCCGTCCCTTATAACTTTGTCATTTTTCCTTTTTGGGTTGTCTTAAAAACATTGACACTTTCTTTTTTAATCAATTAATTGCAGGTTCCAATCTTTTATTGGGGTAGACTGGTTTATAAAGTACATCCAGACAAAAAAAAACTGAATAACATATCCCTTCCGTGACGGCTCCGTCCGAAGTGGTGGATCTAGCACTTGCATTTTGGGTGTTCGAAATTACTTTACAACGATCATTAAGGGAAAAAAATATTGTGTGATGAAATCATTCTACAAATGTATATTTGTCAATGATGTCAATAGCGGGCTATAGCGGCGCTATAATGGAATAGCGGAGCGGCGCGGGGTAGGCGCTATGAGACTGCCTATAGCGGAGCGGTTGGCAATAGCGGCTGTAGCGGACGCTATAGCCGGAAGAATAGCGGCTACAGCGGACGCTATAGCACCGCTATAATTTACAGGGCTACTTTAGTGCTAGTTTTGAGGGAATTTGGGAGTACATTTTACTTTTAGATGTTTTTGGAGTAAAAAATAACCTCATTTCACCCTCCAAAACATTTGGGGGGAGGGGGGCAAAAAACCTAATAAGCAGTATAAACACTACTAAAATAACTCAAAACAGAAACCAAGATCAAAACATAGCTTATCTCATACATCTCCATGTTAAGGTAGCCTAGGTAGTTCAAGGCATCCCAACAACCATAATTTTCTTATAATGATATATCTGGAACTTAATTTATAATGTTTAGAGGTAAGGTACTTAAAGTATTTGTTTCTTTTGGTTTAAGACTCTAATGCCTCTTTATTGGTAATTTAGTAAGTATAAATTTCATGACGAAATTGATATGTGTTGACATGTATACATATAATGTGTATTTTGCATATATATTGTCTAAATAGCGGTCATCCCGCTATCCGCTATACCGCTATAGCGTTTTCAGGGTCGGCCGCTACGCTCCGCTATCCGGGATTGACAACACTGATATTTGTCAACAAAAAATTACTACATTGAACGCAAAGTAAGACAAAATATACTTCGCATTAGTAAATAAAGTAGAATAAATTTAGTACAGCCACAATTTTTTCCTAGTCATAATGTTTTTCTGAAAACATAAAGTGTATTCATTACTAATAGTCATAAATTAAGAAAACGTTAAACAAAACATCAATACATTGAACAAAATGGTGAGCAAAATTATATTGCCAACATTAAGACATTCAATTTGTGTAGAATATTAAAATCCAGTCAATCCACTAAACCACACAACGTATGACGTATCTCTCAATCTTTTCTCATTTCAATCCGCATTTAACCGCAAGGCAAGAAGTATGAATTGGGAAAAGAATATGTGAATTTCAGATTAGGTTTAGAAATAAATTGGGTTGTAAATTTGTAATTTATGTGGGGCAAGGCTAACCAGAAGTGGAGCTGTACTGCTGTAGAGGCGGCTGGGGGGGATCTCGCGAGGGTGGAGGCTGGTGCGACGGCGGGCGATGGCGACTGAACTCGCGAGGTGAAGGAGGAGGACTGTGTAGAGCGAGCAGCGACTCTACGAGCAACCACTTTGCTAGGGCTGCATGCTGTGTGACTCTGAGAAGTAGTCTGGCACGGAACTGCTGAACGTCGCGCGAGTTTGGATCTGCAACCTACGAACGACGGCGTTTAACGTTTTTAAAACGGACTAAAGTCGAAAACCATTACATATGGGTTTGATTTAACAAAATTGTACCAAACCGGACTAAATTGAACCAAAGTCGGATCATACGCAATTTGGTTGAGTCTGGTAGTATTGCTTCCAAATTATTAAAACGAGCCAATATTGAGAAGAAGAAGAAAATCTAACAAAACTATAGAAATTCAGTAAAATTTTCATATGTTACTAAAAAATAATAAATCCAAACCGAAGCAAAGCGAAAAATAGTACTACTATGGTTTTTGTTTGTTAATAATTCTTTCATTTTGTTTCAATACGAAAAGAACTCAAATCATAAAAACCAAACTGAAAACTGATAAACCAACCCTATCATTTATAAAAATTAAATTTGAGCTTTCATATAATGGAAGAAGGTACAAAATATAGTCGTTGATAAAATTGAAATTAGTTGAATCCACCAAATCTGCTGAATTATGGAATATTATATTTAAAACATATTTTACCGCAAAATTAATAAAAAAAATTAATGAAAGAAATAGATAAAATGATCACTTACAGTAACTTCGGTCAATTCAGCTAGAAAAGTAACTACAACTCTACTTATTTTGATTATCGTACAATCTATGTAGCACTGATACGGGTAGGCGAAAACGCGGAAACGGGAACGAGGATACGACAAAATTAAAAAAAAAAAAGTAGGATACGGATACGGGGCCATGTTTATAAATATTAAAAGTTATGAGGGTGCATTTATGAATATTAAAAGTTACAGGAGTGTATTTATAGATATTAAACATACATTTTTTAATGAAAAATAGACATATATTATCCCCCGACATGTACTCATTCATGGCATTGAAGCATTTTTACATTTTCAAGATACTTAGAAATAAGTTCATATTTTCTCTCATATACACTAATGCACATCGAAATATAAATATAGTCAATAAGTCATTAATTTAAAATGAGAAATAAGTCAAACAACTACAGTTTCGAAATTAAAAGTGCAAGAACTCAAAGTTTTAGAATAATGAAGATAGAAAACAATATTTTAAAAGTTCTAATTCATATTTCCGTTGGAGCTATTAATTTCCAAGGTTTCCAAGGATGATTAGAATTAGATATAGGAGGATGGGTGAATTAGAAATAGGTCCATTAGTTGTGTGTCACATAAAAGAAAGGTAAAAATTATTTTTAGTTTTACATTTTTTAAGAATTTTATTATGTAAATTTTGAGTGTTTTTAAAAAGTTTTTCTTTTGAAAGTTTTTTTTTTTAAAAAACAGTTGATACAGGTATCCTTCAGGATACGAGTATCCGAAATTTTAAAATAATTACCAAAAAAAGTGGAAACTTTTAAAAATTGCGGATACGGCCCGGGAATGTACGGTACGGGTATCGGAGAGTATCGGATACGGAAACGTATCCGATACACTGATACGACACCCTAGTGAAGTATCCATGCTTCACAACATACAATCAAATGGGCGAAATAAAAAATTAAACACTGAAACATCTTATGTGTTCATAAACAAAAATGTTCTTGGTACACATACTATGTACACATATTGTGTAAATCCCTAGCTAGTTGTCTATTCACACGGGCAAATCGTTTAGAAACTGTCTTGTAGACAGACAACTAAGCAATGTACACAATGTGTGTACAAAGTATGTGTACACGAGGCAAGTGTAACCGTGGTTGCCATTGAGATACGAGGGAGTGGGACATATATGTAGGCTAGAAGGAACCAACAGCTCCAAGTAGGCAATTTTTGATAAGCAGAACTAGGGTTGCGGGATGAAACGGAAGCCGGGTTATGGTGCCGAACTATTCGCTAACCTAGATCCCACAAAGTGTGTTGGTCGATTAAAACAACAGGACGGTGGTCATGGAAGTCAAAATCCACTAAGAAATGTGTAACAACTCACTTTCTGAATCAACTAGCCCCGAAAATGGATGGCGCTTAAGTGCGCGACCTATACCCGGCGGTCAGGGCAAGAGCCAAGCCCTGATGAGTAGGAGGCCAGCAAGTGTGTCGTTTGGTAAGATATTGGTAGCTCATTCCTACTTTATTTCTTTACCATTTTTATTTATTTTTAGAATTTCTCTCATTAATATACTCTTCATTACTCACTTTTCATTCGTTCCTTTTTAGTTGCAACATTCCTTTTTTCACGTTTGTCAACACACAACTTTGACCGTCATTATATTTAATTATGTATTAGTAAAAAATATAATTAAAAATCAGATTATGAAACTTAATAATGAGACAAATTCAACCATTTTTTCAAAAATAATAATTCACATTAAATAATAAATAAAATGTAGTCAAAGTAAAGGATATGAATAGTGTATAAATTGCAATGTTGTAACAAATGAGATACATCAAATCATGACTTTTCCTAAAAATATTCAACCACTCCGTATAACACAAAGATGTTCTTTTTTAAACAAATAACTTAATTATTATTGATAAAGATGACAAGAAACATTACAATCATAAAGCTCACCATTAATGTGATATATCTGGTCAGCCCGCAGTTTTCAGTCCATTTTGACAGTTTTAGGTCGGCATTGCATTTAAGACTAAATTGGCTAAAATTTCTCAAAAGAATGATTTTAGTTATGTTTTATATTCCGTATGTTCTTTCCTTTATCTATTACTGTTTTCTTACAATGTACGTAGTAATATATTAAGTCAATTCAGTTAGAGTTTCACCAATTTCAACAGATTCAACCAACATCAGTGTGACCTATCGAGATCTAAATTTGAGTACGATCAATATGTAGAAGTTACACAGAGTTTAAGAAATTACGTGTATGAGTTTGAAAGAATAGGAATTTTGGTATTGTAACATTACATTTTAAGTGCATTATAGTTATTTTATGGTAAACTATCTATAATAATATATAAAGGAACAAGGTGAGGAGCCTTTTTGTTCCAAATCCCGCCCAAACTTATGGGCACAATTGGTATTTTAATATTTTTCGCTAATTAAATCCCGCCCAAAGAATGAAAGAGTTATTTAATGACTTATTATTAGTAAAAGCAACTGTCTAAACGTAGGTGTGAGTAATAATAACATACTCCATAGTTGGTAAAGGAAAGGTAATAAAACGTGAACTTTGTACAAGGAAATGTAATAATGCGCGCGTAGCATCTAATTAAATGCAATTGTCTACTTGCAATATTATGTAACACGTACGTAGGTCTGTGTAATTATAATAACATAATTGATAGATAAAGAAAATGTAATAAATGGTTAACTTTGTATCAGGAAATTTAATAGCATCTAAAATATAAATATATTACTCTCTGTGTAATTATAATAACATAATTGATAGATAAAGAAAGGGAAAGTTCCCGAAATAGGACTAAAACCGTTTGAAAATTCCAAAATAGGACTGACATGTTTTTTATTTCCAAAATAAGAGTAATTACTGTCAAGTTTGGAAAATACTGCCATCTTTGAAGTCTGGTACTGCCAAAACATGAAAGTAATTAGTCCTTTTTTGGGAATACAAACATGACAGTCCCATTTTAGAATTTTCAAACATTTTTAGTCCTATTTCGGGTAATATCTCATAAAGAAAATGTAATAAATGGTTAACTTTGTACCAGGAAATTTAATAGCATCTAAAATATAAATATATTACTCTCTCCATTCCGGAAAAGTTCGCCAAAATGTCGTTTCTTCATTAATAATAACAAATTTTGGACAATTATTTTAATTATTACTCCGTATATTTATATATAATTTATAGATTTTATACATTTATGAAAATATTATATAATAATATTAATAATAGTCTATAATCATCATAATCCTAAAACAATATCAGGCTTCGTATTTTATAATAATAAGAATAAGAATATACGTCCGTTCAAAAAAAAAGAATAAGAATATACGTAGTATATATATTATACAGCAACTATTTACCATAAATAAATAGGACCATACATTGCAAGTCTGTGATATTAATGCACACACGGGAATACGATATACATGGAAATGCAATATTATATGCCTTCGTTAATACATACGTACGTTATGTGGTGAAAACTATTCTTGATAAGAGTTATGCCATCAGTCATATATAATTCAAAATATGTACGATCTTATAAATAAACACGAAGCACATTGACTGAGTAGATACGAAGTATTATACATGGAAATGAGATTATGAGTGCGCTGCCATAATTCAAACGTTATACATAAACTAGGAAATATATTGAATGTGTATTTACAATAAAATTTTTAGGAACTGGGGGATATGTCCATATAAAACACCCATGCACCATTTTGATTTCATGCGATTCGATCATATTTTGAATGGAAGAGACGATGCCACGATGGTATATACGTAGTACATCGGTAAGTTCAATTTAAATCATATTCATCACCCATAAGAAATGAAACATTCCTTACTTGAGCAATATTTAACAAACTTTTTTTTCAAATTGTTTGTAGATGTTATTGGTGACGTTGTGGGTAAGGAGCCAATAAAGGAAATTAAACAATTGACAAAGGAGGGAATTAGAAAAACTAATGACGTTTGAACTACAAGATGTATTGATACTCCCTCCGTCCCCCTATAATTGTCCCATTTTTTATTTTTGAATGTCCCACTATTATTGTCTCATATCATATTAGGTAACATCTGTGTGACTCTAATTCATTTTTACTTTATTCCCACTTTATCAACCAATTATCAACCAAATAATTCTACTTTTCTTAAATACCACTTTACTCCCGGCCGATATTAGGGGGGCGGAGATAGTAATATATAAAAACAAAATAATTGCTCATAAATAGTACTTCGTGTTTTTTCATGATAACATATAAAGCATATATAATAATAAGTATTATTTCTGGTGCCCACGTACTAACTAGCTAGGGACAATCGTATTCCATGCACAGTATGGGAAGCTTGACTACACGAATGTATCAATGTCTATACATTGATAAACAATCTGGACCGGTTTCTAAA